CTCTGTTGTGGGAACATGTACCAAATTATTGTTTATTTTGATTATTTATTGATTATTTACTATCTATTTAACCAGAATCTTTAGCCACAAGCACTAGGACAAAAAAAACCTGCTCTGCTATTGTCACTCTTTCTTCTATTGTCACATTTCTATTGTACATAATTATCTCCTGCACAGACTTTAACCTTTAACACGTTTACACACTTCTGTCTTTTGCACAAACTGAGTGATTCTATCCATGCCAAATGTGACATGTAAATAACACATTTATGATAATGTATGTGTGTGTCTTACTAGCACTGACAAACATTAACCCTTGCTCCATCTCCTAAAACACAAGCAAAGAGGTGTGGATAAACACATGCACTCACACGCATGGTTGAATGATATTTTGCTGGAAAGTTGGACTCAGAAAAGAGACTAGGAATAATAAATGTCATAAACCTCGCTTTGGAAGCACTTGGTTAAGCAGCACAAAGCATCCCATTTGCAAGCATTTGTTCTGAATAAACTCAAAGCAAATACGGTACATTATCTAAAAACATGATTTTACTGTCATCGGATTTCCGCCTGGTTCCCCGTCACTGAATAAATGAGCCATGATACGGTACTCTCACACATTCAACATCTTTGCCTTTCATCTCCCATTGTGAAACAGCCGCTTTTTAGTTGCATGCGCCAAAAAACACACATCTGCACTCTCCCTTTGGCTAACCTTTTATCTGCCTTTCTCTCCGGAGACCGTGTCCCCTCACTCACTATCACTACTCCTCTTGTCTCCCTCTGCCCATCTCTGTCTTTCCCTCCTCTTTACTCTCCTCTGCAAACAAGTTGGATTTATAACACTGGCATTGTTGACTGAGCTTCTTTATCAGCGCCCGCTTGGCTTTCTAGCGGCTTCTTGCTGGTGCCCAGTTTTCATTAGCCGCCCATTTCCCCCAATTAAACATTTGAGCGGCATTAATCCATCTTGAGACAATTGTGCATTTCTCAAACAAGACGAATGCAGGGGTTAGAATACCAGTGGAAACATAATTGCCCAAGTCTATGATTACTCATTGTAAATTTAGATTTTTTTAACCATCCTTATAAAAGCATGGACGATGAATTACTTTATTTGTGATTATTTTAGAAGAAATGTAAATACTTTCATAGCTTTGAAGCACAAACAAATCTGTCTGTAGAGTCTGTATAACTAGTGCTCGCAAAACAGTTTTGCTTCTATCACTTTCCATTTGCATTCAGTTTTGGCCTCTGTCCTCTTCCTTTAGTATTTCAAAGTTTTCTAAAGTAAAATGAATGTGTAAAAGTCCCACAGTGGGGAAAACAGGATGTTCTGGTCAGATTTGTATTCAAAATGTTAATATCTTTCTCTTGGGCCAAACATAATGTGTTGAAACAAAGAAATTCAAAGTTAGGACCTCCAGATTTATATGTTAATGATCAATCACAAGATAATATATACAGTATTTTTTCATCAGCTTGCATTGACTATACTATTGACAATACTTTGAATTCATTTTAGTCATTATATGTGTTTTCATGTGTTGTAGCTGTCTTTAAACCATCCAGTCAAAGAAGCCAAAGAAACCATCCAGTGCCTTCTTTGTGCTATTCCCAAGCTAGTAAAAAGTTATGCCTAAATGGACATTTTGTTGTAAGATATTTGCCAAATGAATATGTAAATAACCGAACACTAGAAGGCAGATGGTTTGCTGAGGCCAAAAGGAAAAGCGTTTTTTCTTTACAGCGGGCGAGTCAGTCTCACGCACCGACTTCCGATCAACACTTTTTTTTTTTTTTCAAGAGGGGAGTTTTCACTGACCCACTAAAACGCTTTGAAATTCAAACTTCTCTCCCTTCGTTCCAGCCTTCCTCCCCTCCTAACCTCTTATAATTCTCATCCACTCCTCATCTCATGCTACTCCACATTCCGAGAGCGTCCTACTTCCTACATTTGGCTCTTGCTTACCACCGCCCATTACCGCTGGTAGTCTATCTCTGCGTTGCACACATTTATAGCGAAATAAGCACTCGGTTAAGTGACAGTCACCCCGCCGCCGACACAAAACTGCTCAAACATTCCGCGTTAACAAATCCTGACACCACAGTCACACATGAGCGGCCAGACTCCTATTCACTGTCGCGTATAGAAGGACGGGATTGTATTTTGGAGGTGTGGGCTTGTAGGTGGAGGCGGGACGACTGGGGAGGGGTGGGTGGGGGACTGCAGAGGAGTTAATTACCCCCTGCGATCAATAATTCATTACGCTGTCAGTGTGTGTGTCTCCAGGTCTTTCCGTGTGTGCGTTGGCATGTTTTGAGTGCGCGTAAGCATGAAGAGAAACCTCCCTACGTAAGCAGTTTTCTCTTCCCCTCAGAAGAACGGGCAGATTAAGAGGATTGACTCTGTAATGGATTAACCTCTGGAGTGTGTGTGCGTATGTATGTGTGCGCGTGTCACAGTGTGTGTTGGCCCGGGATCAGAGACTATATGTATGAATTGATTAGCCTAAGAATCTCCTCTCTCCCCCCCGCGTCTTTAATGACCACATCAGCACTTTTTCACCAGCAAACTGGATGGATATATGGGGGAGCTGTCTGTCAAGGAAATGAGACGCCGGCCCTTAAGATGGTCTTGTTGTCACTCAAAGCGCACTCACGGGAACGCTCCCTGTGGACTTGAGGGACCCTGCTGCGTCAGGGCGTCTGCGGTGATAGATGCCTATGGGTTGTTGTGCATTCCAGTTAAAGCATCACTATATGACTTTTGCTTCTTGTCGGCTTTACTGTCTTCTTGCCTTGTCTTGAGAAACTACATTTTGACAGGCCTTTGTAAACAAGAGAAGTACGGTAATCGGTTTGTTTAACTTTTATATTCAGTTATGAGCATTTTAGAATGACTAACACATTTGTTATTTCAAAACCGTTTGTGTATTCTTTGTAAAGGTACATTGTTTACACTATTTACATTACTTTAGTGCTTTTGTCAGTGATAGGTCAATAAAGCTGGTTGAACGTTTTAATAAATTAATGCATATTGTTTGTCCCCAAAGGAAGGGACAGACTTCTATTCATTAGAAAACATGCCATCATAAACAGTTCTCAACATCCATGCCAACACATGAGCAACCATCATTCAGACAACTTCAGAAATGTAAATTCCTATTTTCATGCCAAAACCACCTAATGTAGTTTATTAATTGTAAATCTGTTTTAACAATCTATACATTGGCTTTTAATTGCCTTGCAAAAGCTACAGTGTTAGCACAATGGGATGTTCCTTTCTTAAAGCTGCACTAACTGACTTTATTTTCGTTTTCATTACAAAAATGCTATCCATGTCCTACAGTGCTTTGGGATATACGTCCTTTTGAAGAATAAGTAGCATAGATTTGTGCTGGTGTGATTTTAGATTGAGTTTTTATGAAACAAGGAAGAGAATGTGTTTCGGGTCGGAGATTGTGACCAATCACAGCGGACCACTAGCCCCCACTTTCGTGAGAAATCTACAGATCCCTGTTAGCATAGACATTAGCACAACAAGCGGCGGAGCTAACCTGAAACTTCCTCGTCTTCGTCACCGGTTACTGCTTACACAGCGAGACAGCCATCCAAAAGAAAGTCCTGTTCCTCCGCACTTCCCAGTTCTATCGTTCTAAGGTCACGCCATCCACATGCCAATCTATATCCATGTATTATCCATATTGGGAGACGCTAGCTCCGTCAACAACAGTGAATGTGAGTGGGGGCGATAGCTTCGTGGGTGCGGGGAGGGGAGCAGAAAGAGAGAGGCCAGCGAGGCCGCGGCTTCAAAATCCCAAAGTCAGTTAGTGCAGCTTTAAGAGATGACAAGAAAGACAAGAAATAGTTTCAAGGAGTTGGGCTTTGTAAGTTTAAATAGCTAAAGGAAACTGTCAAAAGACGATTTTGAGGCATAAATTACTTGGTTTAAGGGGCTGATCATCACTATTCCTCTCAGCAGGACCTTGGTTTTTCAACTAAGCAAACGCCAAAGCCCACGCCTTCGTTAAATATCAGAAATATAGAAGACTTTCCATATACATTCTAAATGGCAGATAACAGCTAGACCAGAGAAAACAAGGACAAAAAATTGACCATTTACACAGTCGGAGGTGACGAATCGCCCACTCACTCCGGGTCCTCGGTGCGACAGAGCTCTTCAGGGGATTTTACGCACACGGACACTCCCTAAAAAGGATTCAGGCGGTACGCACATTCACATTGTTCAGCTTGGGCAGGGGGGTGACTCATGTCCAGTGCATTAGATCCTGCTAACGGAGGCCTTGTGTCTGCCAGCAGGAGCAGTATCTGTATGACATGGACTCACACCCTGCTAAGGCTCTGTGACAGCTTCTTTGTGCAGACAAAGTGTATGTTGGGTTGTTAGCAACGGGGAGTGTGCAGTGGTATGTCAGCAAATGTGCAAAAATAAAGACGTAAGTGTAGTAGAAGTGCAGAGAGCGTAAAGGAATCTGTCAAACGAATTAAGAGGAAAGAAATATTTCAACCCTAAACCTAATGATTAGCAGAAGTGTGACAACTATGAATGATAGCCACATTTTCTGCTGGGTTGAAATATTCTTGGGATTTTTGAGATTGTTGAGACTTTCCAAATGGGAAAAAAACTGATTGTTGCGAACACATAAACATAATTATTCACTAATTCAGGTGTACAATAACTATGTTTATCACTCTTTTATCAGGTGCTAAACAGCTGGTTCAAAGTTAGATAGTGTGAGCAATTTTAGATTAGTTTAGTGCAAAAACTACATCAGCGTTATTCACCAGTTTGTTTCAATTGATGGGGAGTAAGTAATGTATTTTTATTTAGTGCATTGAAGAAGTTTAAGTATCTCTTCTGGACTAAGGATTAAATTCCCCTGATGTTTTCCTGAGAACACTAACCATTTCATTGCCATTTTTTCCCCAATCTTTCACAAATTTCTTTCAGAAAAACATAAGAAACAAAGTCTTACCTGTTTGCTGTACTTGTTTCCAGTCTGGCAGCCGTACTCGGAGCACTGGTCTGATCCCAGAGACATTGCATCTCCATTCCCACTGCCTCCACTGCTGCTACTACTGGAGCCAGCGCTGCCCACACAGGCACCACTGCCCACAAAAGTGTTGGAAGGAGGCAGCTCCTGGACGGCTTGGTGTTTCTTGCCCTCAGCCGGTGGGGAATGTGGCTGCAGATTGACCGCGGGGGAGGGGAGAGCTGGATTTGTAGTGCCGTGCCAAGTCTGGACTAGACTGGTGCCTTCTACCTCCACCCATTCGGGGACTTCCTGGATCTCCATCTACAGCGCAGTACCGAGCAGCCAGCCGATCACTCGCACTGCTCAAGTCCTCCTCGTCCTCATCATTGGGGTGCCGTCTCAGTCCATTTACAGTGACAATACCGCTATACATGGAACGCTCTGACTTCCCACCACCGGCAGTTGTTCCAGCTCCAGCTCCATTACGCTTGTCCCGTCGAGGTTTGCGCCCACGATCAGATCCCCCGCCACGGACCCCCCTGTGGCTGGGACCCGGGAGGGCTGAAAAAGTCCTCCTCCGGCTCCTTTTTACCTGCTTCATAACCGTTTTTACCCTGAGCCCCACACTGACGAGCAGTGACAACAAGAAGGATCACCAGGATGACGGCTGCGGCCCCTGCCAGGACGCCAATGGCAACACTGAGCCTCTGCTTTCCTAATGCACGCTCGCTGTCTGGGTCCCCTGCAATGTCCAGTGACAGAGGCGCCATCAAACTCTTGGCCACCTGGGAGAGGGACAGATAGAGAGGGGAGAGCAGAGCAGAAAATGAGTCAGTAAAGGATGACACTGTGGGTGTGTGGCACAAAAAGACATCAAACAGCATCTTTAACTTAATTAAAGGCATCAGTGTGTGCTGGTGGGGGGAGCGCCTCCATTATTCCCCGACTTATGGAGTGTCACTAAATATATTAATTGCTCTTGCTTCCCAGTTGTGTTGTTTCAAGAAAAGAGTAAGCTTTAACGATAAGTCATGTTTTAATCTACATCTCTACATCTACTTTGCCCAAAAGCCCCCACTGATAGATCAAGGCTATGCTCACACTCAGAGAGCAGCCGTCCTCCTGTGGACTCACCACCTGCAGAGGGTCAGTGAGGGGCTGGTGCTATGAGACTTGGGTGGCATCTCTGACTGCCACCCCCCTGACCCAGAAATGGATTAAAGGGTAGAAAATGGATGGATGGATGGATCTATATCTTTAATATGTGTCCTTAAAACATAGATCAAATCATATTGGACCTATTCTGAACAAAAGTTTGAAGTGGAGATATTTGTAGTTAAAATACAATGGGATTTGGGTATGCCAGTTTCTTAGGTGAAATGTAGCTGAATTTGGCTTTTTTATATATATATAAAAAAAAAAAAAGACAAAGTCAAAATGAGTGTTTAGTATTGCGATAACGGTATTATTGCGATATTTTTGTCTGCCAAAATAAGCACAACATTAATGACCTTCAAATGCATATATTTATATACTTTTTTGTTTGTTTGTTGTTCTTTTTGAATGTTTATGTGTCTGTCTGTTTTGTTGTCTTTAATAAAAGAAAAATAATACTTTTTTTAAACTTTTTTTATTGCGCATCTTTCCGATATTGATATTGCATGCACCAATATCGCAATAACAATATTTTTTCTATATATCGTGCTGCCCTAGTACAAAGCAGGAACCAAACTTAAAAGTAGTAATAGTAATAGTAGTAGTTTCTAGCTAAACCCCAACAGGTGGATTGCATCAGTAAACAGTGCTTAGACCCAACATGTGTCACATCACAGACTGTACGTTTCTGGCAACAAAAAATGGGTTTTAATTGTGATAACTTAAACAACTAGGAGTGCATAATGAACGTCTACTACAGTTTATTGAATCAGTAAGTAATTCCCTAACAGCAGAGACTTTACTGGAGGTAATAATCCCTGTGTGCAATACAATGTTGACAATATTATTTCATTAAGCACAAAAAAAACTGCTTTTTTTTATTGTGGAGATAAGTAATAGAGAGCCTATTAGTACATGTTGCACTGACTGATATTGTGTCGTGTACATGCTCAAAGCTTGTACACTAATAAAGTAACACTACTGGAAGAAGTGCCTGCAGTCTAAGCATGCCCATTACTTGTTATGAAAGCACGCATGGCAGGAGACAATGAGGCAGCAGTGGTGGTCTGTGCTAGTCGTAAAATCGGCCACAGTCAGGCATCTGAATACAGTTAATCAATACCGAGAAACCTTGAGGGGTGTTTCATTATACAACAAATGCATGTGGTGATATATATATACACACCTACTACCTCCGCCATTCCACACAAACTAGCAGGAAAGAACTGTCATGGAGACATCTCATTGAACGGCTGTGACCCCCGCATCTCACGGTCCACACGACAATTCTTTTAACCTGTCAAAACTAGCTATTATCCAGTCACATAATCCCCGTTGCTACACGCTGTAATAGGCTTCAGGAATGAATAGGTAAGAGATACAAAGTCAAGGTTAAAAAAAGAAAGACTTCAATTTTCTTTTCCCAGGATTGGCTCAGAATTGAAATAAAAGGACTCCACACACTGCAGAATTTGTTATATAGTGAACTAAAGGCTATATACAGTAGCTCAACATATTTCATTTTCTCAACCTAAGAATAGCGCTGCGTTAGGCTTCATTGTTTTATTGTTAGCCATAGCGTGGTTATTGTTTTTAAGTGACTGTTTGTGTATGTGTGTTGGATAGACCTATCTCTGCCTGGCTCTTGCTCTCAGTGAGCCAGCCTCATTGTTCTTATACGCCTGCAGTATTCAACTTTTCTTTCTCATTCTGCCGGGCATCTTAGCGGCTCAGCGCATTCTAGCCTCGTCTGTTGCATTGTGCGTGTAAAAAAGCAATACAGTGAAAGCGTCTATGCAGCTTCCATTCATTTCGAGGCTGAAAGTGCAAGGTATATGGGCAACTTTTCCCAGGCACGAGATATAGAGTGCTCGGCCTCTATGTATAGCGCTGTGTTCATATGGAATAGAAAGCCTATATCAATGCATGCATCCCAAAACTCCCTGTGGAATCTTCAACACAGCGGCTTCAGCTATGTCCTGGGCTCGGCTTCACACCACCACATATCTGTTCTCTCCTCCAAGGATTTGGTTATCTACATGTCACTGCACAAGCCGATGCTCTCAGCACGGATGGAAAATTTCCCAAGACCACAGTATTGACTTGAGCGGTGGAAGCCCTAAATCTTAGCCTGACTAAAGTTCAATACACTTGTACTTGTGGGTAGGATGACAATGGAAACAAATGGATACAGGTTTGAAATACAAGTAGATAAAAAGCTCAGATAACCAATGTTTGTGTTTGCATTTGAGTGTTAAAAGGGCGCTATGAGCCTCCATTTCATTGGTGGAATCTGGTCTAACCCTGTCACAATTATAAACCCTTTTTCTTCTTGATTTTGTAATATAGTTAGGTTCAAGTCATATGTTAAAAAAGGATACATCCTGACATAATCCAACTTTATTTTTTCATTTGAATAATTTCAATACTTGCAATCATTTTATGTATGGCACATTTTGATTTTATGTAAGCATGACCATAATTTACATTTCATGGCTTTCAAGACTTGCCAGTTCGAGCGGATGGTGTGTACGCACATCGACAGGAGAGAAATGCCACACAAACAAATCATAATTGTTTTTCGGCATGAAACAATCGGAGAGGTTCTGTTCCTGCCACTACTCTTGACTTTACCCATCTCAATGTCTGATCGTTTCAATGCCACCATCCAGGTAGCAGCAGTTTCCCTCCCCTAATTACGTCTGGCATCTATCCACCACTCAGTTTGACTTCATTATGAGATGGAGGTATTCTCTCCTCGATGACTTCTACTAAATTACTTCACCAAGTTCCTCCTGACAATCCAAATCCACAGAGCACTGAATCAAAGGCAGCTTTTATACGTGTGGGGTTACAGAGAGTGAATAGTATGCGTCGAGTTATTGTCATGTGTCAACACTATTTTTACACCTTTTTCCAACGCTCGCTCAAGGACAAGCACAAATTCTTTCTAACGTCTTTTCAGAATGTCTGTGTACACGGTTTTTCCACATGATTTTATGTTGGTAATTTTCGGAAGAATTGTATCTATTCTTTCACTATTCTCTTGATTGAGATGGATTGACTAATTATGCTGCGGCCTTGTTTTTGTTCAATCTTCAATCTCTCAAAAGATTATCTTTATTCATTATTTCCTCTTCTTTTTGCATGCCAGTTTGTGCTGTCAGGGTTTATAAGATGGTTTCCAGATTAGCTGATACATCTACAACGTTATGAATAAATAAATACAATAATAATATCAATATATTTTATGGGAAAATAGATAACTTAGCACAAAAAAATACTCAAATGCATTACATGAATGCATTTAGAATGTAGTTCACTATACTTGTTTGAAGATATGCATATACATAGTAAGTTGAATGATGATCATGGTAAAGTGGAAACTCAAATGAGAAAATACAGTATGGTTATCTAACAGCCAGGAATAACCTGCAATAACCTGCATGGTCACATAATGGAATCAAATATGGATCAACTGTTTGGACAAAATCAAATACTCTGCTCGCATCCGCGTTTATATAATGATTCTTTCCAATACGGGCCATTCAACTGAATCGATCAGAGGTTAAAGCAAATGCTTGGGGAGCAGTAAGTTTCATAAAGATACTTGACTGATTGTAAATCAAAAAAAGTGGAATTGTACTGTCTACAGTTTAGGGGATGGCTCATAAATTGTATTTTTGAAACAATTATGGGTCTTTATTGCGCTCAACCACAGATTGAAAAATCCCAGAGTCAGGCCGGGCTCACTGTAGGGGGCGATCATGAGCCCAAGATTCACCTGCATCCGATTCCACCAGATATACTCTTTGCTTGTTATTTTTCTGCTGAGGGCAGCTACAGGTTTGATTAACATAATCAAACATACATACATACATACAGACATGCATACATACACACATACACACATACAGTATTTAGAACGTAACCACTCAATAGCGGCATATGTTTGAAACAAGTATGCAGCCTCTGAACAGTTTCTAACATGTTGCCAAGAACTGTGAAAACTAAAGAATGCATTCCCTATTATTAACTATCCATTAAGCAGATACAGTCATTTCTGTTCCAACCCCGAGCGCTATAGCGATTTTTTTTGTCATCCGGCAGGAAAATAGCCCCATTGATGAAGAAGAACTTAAAAGGTTTCCGAATGCCACAGTGTTTGAGACTAGATGGGTTTTGTGATATTTGTGTCTTCTTTCTGACCTTTTCCTCTTCTTTTAGCGGCTCACGGGGCTCAGTCTTAATGTCCCGTTTCATTAACAAACAGAGACCAGGAGACCTTTACTTCAAAGAGGACGCGCGACATGTCTGAGCAACCTTCCACGTGGAGCCTTACACCGCAGAGCTCAAAACAAACACTCCGACCGCAAGGCCAAGAGACGGATAGCAAACACATTACAACACTGCGTTTGTGAAATAATGAACTGTCTGTGGTCTTAGTTAGACCTGTCACCTGATCCCACTTTGATGAGTTTTATTAAGAGATACGAGAGCTCATGCTGGGTGGAGAATGTCTGGAGTGTCATTTGTTTAGATTGATTTTTGAAGGCTTTTCAGTTAGAAGTGACATTGAATTGGTCTAGTGGGATTTATAGAAGCATAATAAGAGTTACACATGTCTTAATGGTGAGATTAACTTTTGATCTGGAGCAATTCATTATTTCAGTAATTTATCTGATATCACTTTATCGGCTAAAGGTTAAATTAATAACTTAAACTTTTAACACAACAGAAAAGAAATGTAAGCATATTTATTTGAGTAATATATTGTATTATTTTATCTAAATTCACAAAGATAGATTTTGTCTGAGTTAAAAATTAAATTAGCCTGGTTGTACCACACCATAGTTCAAATGACATTTCGTACTAAGGTCTGGAGGTGCTCCATTGAGCTCTGTTTACAGGTGGGAGGGGTTAACTCCTTATGCAGATTGAAACGATTGGATCTGAGTTTACCGTGACGTATGTAATGCGCCCGAGTGAGTCGTTAGTATTTAGCATTTAGCCGAGCCATCTCCTTTGCCGCTAACGGAGCCCGTGGGGAGTAGCGCCACAATATTTTCCAGCGATTACATTTGCTAAACATTCCTCTTTCTCCGGCTTCGATTTCTTGATAGAACCAGACCAGAATACTTTACTATCGCATTTTTCACCATTACCAAACTACAACCTGCCCATTCGACGCAAACTCTTGACGTCACCCACAACTAACTACAACACCTGCCTTCCGCGCTCTCTGATTGGTCGGTCGAAATTCAACCGATTGTAATCGCTAACACAGGGACAAGACCCAGACGTTACATGGAGTGAAATGATGATTGAGCGGAGTGTACGGATGGCTAAGGCCAGGCTAAAACTAAATGGGTTAAAGATAAATAATTATTCTGAAAATCCTCCCATGACCCCCAGCATGTGTCCTGCGACCCCCACTTTGGGAACCACAGACTTAGAGTGCTTAGATTTATTGATTTTTTGGCCAAGCAATATAAATTCCACAGTGGTTCTCCCTCTGTCTGAGTGGGTTTCCTCCGGGCGTTCCGGTTCCCTCCAGCACCAAGCTGTGGTAATCAGGAGGCGGGTCCCTGTGTGTTGCACTGTCGTTCTTTTTGTGTCAAATGCAAAAGTCAAATTTCCATTCTTGGACCATAAAAGGTACTTTATAACTTGGGGATCTCAATAACTTGGGGGTCTCAAATGCAGTCCTCTGTCTGTGCTTTATCGTCATCATCTTTAAAATTATCAACAACTACAGACCATTACTATTTTACTATTACTAATATACTCATAAAACATTTTACATTACAGCATAGTAACCATTTGAAAGGTGAAGATTGCAATTTACCTTACAACCTTCTAACCATTCCGTTAACTTCCTTTACACTTCAAAGCACATAACTCTATTCGAAATAATTATTTCTGAACCTAATGAAATCTGCAGACCTAACTATGAAATCATAGAGTGCATACTTTAGCTGAGCCTGTAATAGAGGGACAAAACTGGGACAGGTCCATCCTCAATACCATACTACACACACACACATACACACACACACACACACACACACACACACACACACACATACACGCACACACACACACACATACACGCACACACACACACACTAAGCCTTAATTCTCTCGCTCTCCCACCATCACACACCTAATGCTCGAAGTTTAATGTAGCAGAAAAAACACTTCCGTAATAACAGTTATTTTAAACACAGTCATTATAAGAATGCACATGAGCACACGGGCAGGAACAAAGACACTGCAGCATGTTGCCCTCACTAACGCAAAAAAGAGAAAGATTTTTAGCACAAATAAAGCAGCAATTACTTCTGTGGTAAATGGGCAGAAAATTGTAACACAAACGTAGGGGGAAATCGTGCACTTTTCTTATTCTATCTCCAAAATCATCATCCTACCAGTTCACTTTAACAGCTATAATCAGACGTCATTATTGTGTTGCCTATTGTGCTGTCGGTGCGGCCATTATTTGAATAGATCAAAGGCCGTATCATCACTGCAATTACTGGTTATCATTACCGGCTCTGCAGAACAATACAAGTCTGCAGGCATCAAAAACACTCTCTTATTCATTAAACGTGTCACTTTGAATGCTCCCATTTCCATAACAATTTTACTTACTTGCTTAAAAAGTTTCAAAAATTTCACCTGTGTGGTATTGTATGTTATGTCAATACGGTTTGGAGTAGAGTTTGATTGACTGTTTGTATTGTGTTGGCGAACTCAACGGTTTTGTAAAGTCCTCTGAGATTACTACTGTTGTGATTTAGGGCTAAGCAAGAAGAGATGGAATTGAAGTGAATATTGAAGAATTAATATTTGTTTTTATACAGACATCAATCACCATGTACTTACTGTATATCTGGTTAAGGACATACGGCTCTACTAGGGCTGCAAGATGATTATGAAAATGGGTTTAGTTTTGTTTCAAAATCATGTTTACCTAGTGCAGTTTCTTTTGTAAAAAATACTATAAAGTATATATATGCCTGTGCATAAGTTGGTATAGATATAATTGATAGTTGCAATATCGTAATTTTTTAACTCATTAATTTCATTTTTGATTAAACTAATATCATAATCAATTAAAATAACTCAATAACTCACATCACAATATAAAATCGTATTCAATGTGCAACCCTACTGCTATGATGGTCAGAGAGAATGCTTGGATGTACTGTACAGTATATGTAGTGTGTTCTCTGATACCTTTTAAACCAGTGACTACAGTCTTCCTTCAGTGGCTCGAATTGCCAACGGTGTAAATGCTGATTCCACTTGAAAGGTGTCAGAGAGAAGTGCATCACGATTTGCTGCATATGATGGTGTTCAATATTTGGCAGGTCGCCACATTGTATTGTGACTAGGGCTGGGCGATATGGCAAAAAAAAAAAATCTCCGATTTTTTCACACCAAATCCGATTTACGATTTTAATCGATTTATTTTTTTCAATTTAAAAACAAACTACAACTGACAAAGAAATAGATTTTCCTTTATGCAGTTTAATCTAAATCCCCATGGAGCATAAGTGTAACAGGAATTAAGCCTTAAAACATGCTTGTAAACGAGATGGCTCTGCCATTGTAAACAGTGAAAATGTAGCTTAACAGTTTTATAATAACTTCACTTACAATGACACTATGCACCTTCAAAATAACTTAAATCACACAAACAAGGCCCATCGCAAATATATCAATCCTATTAAACACATGCATTATTTACATGAAATATCACATTTTTAAAACTGATTACTCAAAATAGAAATGTTGTAACAGACAGTCTTTTCCAAAAGCCTCCTCGGGTTTTCATGCTTGTTCTTTCAACTGTGCCTGAGTAACTGTGCTGTAGTACAACGCTCGGTCCAGCTGGTGGCGCTAATACTAACTTCAGTGACTCCCGCATTGTGCGAGCTTCCTGTTTACATTCTGATGCTGTAGCTAACAGCTACTGTAGCAGCTACTGTAGCTAACAGCTACTGTAGCTAACAGACAGCAGGGAACACGTTGTTTGTATCAGAGCAATGAGAACAATGTGTGAGGCGTGTCTTTCCCCAAAGTGCAGCGGCTCAGTGGGACACGGGTGTGTGCGCGCCACGGACACGGGAGTGCGCTTTGGAATAACGAGCGTGAGAGAGCGTGAAAGATGTGGCGTACGACCGGAGCCTGTGTGTGTGTGTTCTGGCGATTTAAATAAAGTCTGATTCTTGAACTTTTGAAGTGTTATTGCAACAGCACCAACTGTGACAGCGAGCATCAGGCCAGAGGGAGCCTGTTAGCATTAGGTTAGCTTCAAAATGACTGCTCAACACCATAGACCCGCGGTTAGCGCGTTAGCGCTGTAGTTCTGCGCTGGAGAAAATAAAAATCGAATTTTTAAAAAAAGAAATCGCCCTAAACGTAAAACTCGAATTAATGATTAAAATCGATTAATCGCCCAGCCCTAATTGTGACAATTCATAACACTAGAATGTGGAAGGCGTTTTCAACTAGTGGGAATAATAAGTGAACACCAGTGAATTCTCAATCCTTCTTTGAGCACATACCTCACTATTCCAAACTGGTCGCTCATGTACACTATATTACCTTTATGTTACTTCAAAATCTTAGAAAATCTTATTGTTTGAATGTGCACAAACCCAGGCTTATGTTTTCACTCATTGTAAGTCATTGTGTGAACCAATTTATTGACTAATACATATTTTCAAATTATAATCCAAAGTAACTACTATGACTAGAAAGTTTACATCAGCATGTTTTCGTCATACTGCTATTAACCTATGACAGCTTGGGAGTTCCTGTAAATTCATGGGCTACCTTGCATTAACTGCACTTTTGAGATGTCCCCATATCGGCTCAATGATGTTATAATTACCTCTGCCTAACAGGTAAAGTGATGCCCGGCAGTTGTCTCTTTGTCTTTGAGCAACATAAGTTGTGGGAGGATCACAAGTGCCGTCTGGAAGCAGGATTTTTGAAACACGTTTTTTGACAATGTGTGAAAAAAGTGTTTGGCAAAAACAAAACCAACCTGTGGCCCCTTTCAGGTAGCTCCCCAAAGGATTTAGAGTTTAACAAATGATCTAGAATTAATAATCTAGAATCTAGAATTAATGGGCAATTAATATTGCCCATAATTAACAATTGTAAACCGCTTTGAGACTCAGATCTGCAGTGAAAAGGCGGTATATAAAATAAAGATTATAATACATTTCTAGTTATTACCTATAAGTATAAATATAGGGGTTTACAATATTATGGTATATCTATGTGTTCTCTTATGTTTTGTCCTAATTATTACATCCATTTTTTATTTCGGCTGCAAAAAGGAGTACCTGTCTGCCTCTTTTGTAAGATAAAAGTAGCTCTCTGGGTGAAAAACTTAAGAGACACCTGGTGTAAACGTTATACCCTCTACACGGCTGCATTTGTATCTGACGGAGGAAGAAAGAGAACAAAACACCATACATACTAAGCTAATATGATAAAAGTGTACATAATTTATCCAAAAACTCTTGAAAAACCCTTACCTGTGTATCTACCAGCGTGGCGTTGGCCAGTGTCTCATTGATGAACACATGGACCAGAGCAGTGGCGCAGAGCGAAGGGATCCCGCTGTCGTTAACCCGGACCACCAGCCTGTGTAGCCCTCTGTGGCGCCGTTCCAGAGGCTCGGCCAGCGTGATGACTCCATTGGTATGGCCGATCTCGAAAAGCCTGAAGGGATTTCCCCCGACCAGGGCATAGCGGAGGTCTGCGTTCGGGCCTGTGTCTGAATCGGTGGCGGACACTGTTCTCACGATGGTGCGAGCGCTGCTGGCAGGTGGCAGGAGGGTGTAGGACTCGTTGGCTGGAGACGTGACTGAAGGGGCGTTGTCGTTCTCGTCTGTGACAAATAAGGATACTGTGGCTGTGGCGGTTCGATGTGGTTCTCCTCCATCTACAGCCTTAACTCTGAATGTGTATGTTGCAAGTTTTTCACGATCGAACGAGTTGGATGAAAAGATAGTACCGGTGTTGTTCTCGATTGAAAGATTTCTTGTTCCTTCTCTTCTCCATCTCCTTTTTCCCCTAACTTCTGGACCTCCTCATCCATCTCCACAAATAGACTAAGTTCAGCATTTTCGCCTTCATCTGCATCGGTGACTGTCACCATGCCGACGGGGCTGTTAGCCAGAAGATTTTCCTTGACGTAGAAGGTAAAGATTTCTTGAACAAACTTTGGGGCGTTGTCATTGCGATCTGTTATCAGGACTACAACAGTGGCTGATCCTTGCAGAGGAGGGGTCCCCTTGTCTTTAGCAATGACTCGAAGTTCATATCTTTCTCGTTGTTCCCGATCTAATATTCCGGTAGCACGGATATCCCCATTATCGGGGTCTATGTAAAAGGGCCCATTTCCAGCAGAATCAAGAGAGTAAGCAATCTCTGCATTCTTGCCACTGTCTGCATCAGAGGCTACTACTGTAAGCACTCGCTCACCAGGCGAGTTGTTCTCGGCAAAGTGGACCTCTACAACACTTTGGGCGAAAGTTGGGGCGTGATCGTTAATATCAACCACTCGCACCATCAATGAGCTATTGCTGGACAGACTTGGACTTCCAGAATCCACTGCTACTATGGTAACGCTGTACTCTTTGGTGGTCTCATAATATGTAAATATATTAGGGTAGTTAACTGGGGTAGTCTTGCACAGTTTTTCCTATGTGGTTTTACTGCAAATGGCAAATAAATGAATCTGAATCTGAATCTGAAATGAGATAAGGATGTACTTTGTAAACGTGACAAAACTATGCATTACGTCAGGATCCAGTGCTACTTGATGTCCAAATACACATATGCGGCACCTTCTTTAGTAATGAATGCGAAACCCCATACACTCATTTGAAGGATTTTATGAACTATTAATGGGCACTTAATGGCAGTGAAAAGTCCTATCCCAGAGTCATTAGTCAGAGTTTGCCCCCTCAGGTATGTCTCTCTACTCCAAGTTTAGGTGAAATCAGGAATGCGTCATTACTTTCAGATTAGTGGGCCACTATTAACAGCTTGCTGCAGTAACCAGGGTTACTGAGCAGCACAAATACAAATACCATTTGCCATTTTCAATATCATTGCATCACAGTATTTCTTTTGAAACAATGCATTCTTGTCTAATCTTCATATTATAGGGTAAAACAACAGGATGGATTATCAACAGATTAGGGCTGGGCAATATGGCAGAAAAGTAAAATCTCGATTTTATTTTCTGTTTAAATCCTTTTCCTTAATGTTTGCCCTTAAAAATATTTTTTGATCTTTCCAGTCAATAATCAATTTTCAAAACAATTTTTAATTTGTTTCCTTCAATATGTTTAAAAAAAAGTCTTCTACAGACTGTGCTGATATTGCAAGTATAATTCATGTGCAGCTGGAACTCTCACAATATCCTTCATTCGATTTCACAATTTTCACATTTTTCACAAATTTGATTTTTTCAAAAGCCGATTAATTGCCTAAATTTGATTTATTGCCCAGCCCTACAACAGATACTTCTAGATTACTTAATAATTCCACAACTATAGCGGTGAAACATTTCTAAAGAGCAGAACAACAGAATGGATTATCAACAGAGATACTTCTAGATTACTTAACATTTCCAACCCATTAAAAACACAAGCACTCTCTTGACATTTCTCTATGCCGACTTCAAGCCTGCTGGAAGCATTTGCGATTTTTCTCTCCACAAAAACAAACGTCTAAACCAATTAAACTTCTCTAAAGCGACACCATTAAGGCTGCTTTGTTCAGGTGTGCCATGAACCACGGCGAGGAATCAAATCAGAGCATCTTTTGGGGAGAGAAACACCACTTTACAATTGAGCATGGAGAGTGAATCTACTGCAGCTACTTGAGTGAAGAGCACGTTTATCTGTGAATCGGAGGAGAGCTTCTTGTGGGTTGGCACAGGCATGTGGATTAGATTCCTCCCATAAACACAGCCCTACAGAGTTTGCCTCCTCTCCAGACTAGTGTTGTTCTTGTGGTGTTCAATTTCACCACTAGGCCGAAAACAAACCTAAGTTGACTGAAGTGGGGATGGAAAGCATGAAAACAATTCTGAGCCACTTTTAAGGATTTAAATATGACTGGGGCCAGCAGCAGTCATTTTTTGTTTTGTTTTTTACTTTGAGTTGTCTAATTACAAGAAAGTGCTATGTACGGTAGATGTGTGTAGTAATTCTGTTGTAAGATGTTGTAATTAGGGCATGTCTGTCTTTAGATGTTTAGGCAATTAATTATTCAAATGTGTCTTAGTCCACTAAAACAAATAGTCACAATATTGTATCTAAATTACAAGGATTTCTATGGAAAAACAGCAGAAATCACAAGCGGGCAAAAACGTTGGTATTTACTTTGAAATTCAAGTCCGATCTCTTCTCTCAACTCTTCTTTCACATTACTTTCAAAACTCTATTGATAGTGACTATAAATAGATCCCATGCCAACATTTTTGTGAGTATAGTTGAGTTTTGAGTTATGAGATCCTTTTCATTGACAAATCGATCAAATGGGCATTTTTTTAGTCAGCCAAGCATCCGTTTGGGTGACTCCAGCCATTGATACTGCAGCAGCAGCAGCAGCAGCAGCAAGAGTAGTAGTAGTAGTAGTAGAAATAGGAGAAGTAGTATCAGTAGTAGATTAAGATTAAGGGATTCTTTATTTGTCCCACAGTCGGGAAATTTCAGTTATAGAGCAGTAGAAATGAGGAGCACACAGCACAAGAGAAGTGAACGAAGGCTATACTAAATAAAATTAAACTAAATCTCTACCTCTAGCATCAATGAACAAGTATAAAATCTCTATCTTGAAAGTAGTAGTAGTAGTAGTAGAAGTAGCAATAGTTGTAATTGTAGTAGTCAATGCTAAAATTTCATCCATACCATCCGACTTTCATTTCAGTACTTGACAATAACACTTATGAGGTCTTTTTGATATACTACTTGTTTGTTGACAGTTGAAAACAATATTGCTACTTTGTCTCCCATGTTGCCACAAAAGAGCTCACCTGTCAAAGGCTTCATCAGCGGGCAGAGGTGGGAGGGCAGTCTCTCCAGCTGGTTTCAGGGTGAAAGGCACGTCTCCCACCACTGTACACGTCACTGCTCCATTCTCCCCCTGATCCCTGTCGGACACCTGCACCAGAGCTACAGGAGTGTCCACCAGAACATTCTCTGGGACCAACGCCGCTCCATCGCGAACTGGGATTCTTCCAATTTTCCTAATTTCCACACTGGGGACATTGTCATTTTCATCTCGGACAGACAGGACGACAGTAGTGCGGTCAGTGCGTGGGGGCTGACCTCTGTCTCTGGCCGTCACGGTGAACCTGAGCTGGGCCACTTCCTCTCGGTCTATCCTGTGGAGCACACTGAGCCAGCCTGTCGCTTCATCCAAACGGAGCAGACGTCGGACAGACTCGGTGGCAGCCCCAAACACGTACTCCACCTGTCCGTTCACACCGATGTCCCGGTCTGCAGCCCTCACCTGGAGGACAGGTGTACCAGGAGGGGCGTTCTCTGCCATCTCAGCTTCATATGTTGGTCGCTCAAACTGGGGGCTGTTGTCATTGACGTCAGTGATGGACACACGCAGCAGAGCCTGAGAGGAGCGAGCTGGGTTTCCCCCATCTCTCACACGGAGATACAGTTCATAAGAGTCTTTTAGTTCTCGGTCCAATGTTCCCTTCACAATGAGCTGTGGTTGCTTCTCGCCATCTGGTATATCTGCCACCTGGAGCTCAAATACACTGCTCCTGGGGCCAGCAGTGTCTCCACTTCTGCCTCTTCTGTCTCCTTCTATTCGTGTGTTGGTGGTTCCCCCCACTGTGCGCCTAGTGGATGTTGGGACAGTTGCCCCATCTTGAATGAGCTCATATCTGTCAATACCATTTTTGCCAAAGTCTCTGTCTGTGGCAGTGGGCAGGAGGTACAGCGTGCCTATGGGGCGATTCTCCTCCACTGAGAGCTGGAGCACAGGTGAGGGAAAGGAAGGAGTGTTGTCATTGATGTCTGTGATGACCACTCTGCCCTCGAAAAGGTCAACCCAGCTCTGGAGAGGCCCAATCACTGACACTTCAAAGTCTAGAAAGCACTCATTCTCATCAAAGATCATCTGGCACTGGGGCAGTTTTTCTCGGTCTATGCGCTTTTGGCCCGTGGTCAGCTCTCCTGTCACATTGTCTATCTTGAAGTATTCAGAGCCACTCTCCAGAGCAAACGTCACATCCCCACTGCCTGTCCCTGCAGTCAGGCCCAGGTCTGCGGCCACGTTTCCTATCTTGACGTCAGGGGGGCCCTCCTCCGCCACTCGGTACCGGAGAGCTGAGTGTGCAGACGGGAGCTGAGTCAGCAGCTGCAGCGCCAGCAGCAGGAGGCTGCGTGGATGCACTGCACCAAGCCTGTGCATGGCTCCTCGTGGCTGTAGTACAGGTCAGTGTAGTGTGCACCTAACAGCGTGGGCGACTTTAGTCCGATCCCTGTCCGCTCACAGCGGACTTCAGCTTCACGTCTACTGCAGCCTCCTCTTCTCTTTGGTGCACTCACTGATGAATCAAAAACTTCTACAATAGAAATCTTTTTGTTTTACTAGAGCGTTGGTGCAATACATGAATTAAAAAATACATCCCGCTGTGAGAAGAAAGAATGTGAAACTAATTCGCCAGTCTTTGATTAATCCACCCCAGCGTCCTTTCTTATTTCTCCTTTGTCAGAACTGCAGCGCTGCCCTGTCGCCGGCTTATCACTTCATAAAGTCATTTGAAACTTATTTTTATTCCAGTCACATTTGGGACAGCGGCTTTTCACAGTTCGAAACTGCAATGCAGCACGGTAACACAAAAGAACACTGTGCTTTTCTCACCGGGCAGAAGCGCCAAAATCCTCACATATCTCCGTCGTGAAAGAGGCAAAAAGAGTCCAAAGTGTGTAGATGTGTGCCTGTCCTGCTCCTCGCTCCGGAGCCAAGAGCCTTTTCTACACACGCCGCAGTGGAGCCGCGTGCCAACCCCACGGATTCCTCCACGCAACTTACGCGTAGACAAGACTTTCTTCAACAAGATTTCCTTCGTGAGCCAAAACGACAGCTTCTCTGGTCCTAGTTTCCTCGCTCAGGAAGCAGATCCGGATTCTTGGTTCAACTATGAGTGTAGCATAGTCCTTGCGCAGTGCTCACTCGGGATACATGTGTCGAGAGTGGATCATGCGTCTATTTTCCGAAGAGTCCCGCATTCTCTCTCTGACTTCCTCTGCCTCTCTCTCTCTCTCTCTCTCTCTCTCTCTCTCTCTCTCTCTCTCTCTCTCTATCTATCTTTCTCTCTCTCCTCTCCTCTCCTCCTCCTTGGGCTTTTTGCCTCTCACCTGCACTGCTCGGGACTGTGCTGCTGCTGCTGCTGCCGTAGATGCTGCAGTCTCCCTCTTTGACTCCACTGCGCGTAACTCGAGCACTCAGCTGAAACGGGAGAAGCATGCAGGGCAGGCGCACTCATACCAGTGGATGTGTGCGCATATGCGTCGGTTACCGGGGGACTGACCTGACCCCCCTCCGCGCACTCCTCCCATCCCAGCCCCTCTTGTCCTGTCATACAGTCAGATTAAATGTCTCTGTGTCCCGGGCCGCTGACAGCTCGTTGTGGAAGAATATCTTTCTCCATAATATTCTTACAGTGGAGAACATATATTGGCGCTTATACTGCTCAGTTGAATTCTTGCTGCGGCAGCTCTTTTAGCCGGACAGAGGGGCAGTCGGCGTTTCATTCAGTTTTTTTTTTTTTTTTTCATGATAGCGTGGAGTATTGTAGGCTACTTCCTTCACAGCATGATGCACAATATCATTCTTCATAAAAAGGGACATATATCTTGCGCACACATAGCAGCTTGTCAACCTCTGAATTTATAGCCAGTGCCATTGCTGACTATTACTTGTTCTTGCGTTACACGTGGTCTTTTATACATGAATGATGATCCTATAGTCCTTCTGTCATTATTATTCCTATATAAGCACGTTTGAATGTGCTTATGTTACCTACTTGAGCTATACAATCATAAGTAGAGATAACTAATGAATAATTATGCAGAGCCCCAAGTAAATGCATAATGCAATACTCAATATAGGCTGAAAAAGTAACTACTAAACACTGCTCTCTCTGCTGCTGTATTGAACAGAGTCGGGGCTTCCACTCCGCCGCTCTCCCTCTGCATGTATAATGTGTGAAGCAGCGGCGCACTGCTCCTTCTGTCGGACAGTCCACCGCGCATCTGTAGTCACGACGCATCCAAGAACTATAACTGCACTTGGCAACACAATCAAAAAACGTCAACAATACGTGACCACAAAAAAATGAAAATAAAAATAAAGATAAGATAAGATATGATGGAGCTTTTCTCTTCCCAGTGTGGCAACATTTCATTGTCATCAAGGCAGAATAAAAGGAGGAAAAAAGAGCTCTCAGCTTGCACCGATATTTTTTTTATAGATCCATGGCTTGCACACATCAAACAGGATCTATTATTTAAGATAATTGGTCATAAGATAAAATAATACAATGATAATAATGATTATTAAACTTTATTACAGACACGGAGTCCAGATAAGAAAGACATTACACAAAAACAAAAACAACAATAATCATAAAAAATACATGATTACAGCAGACTACTGTACCAGTGACGCCACAGTTCAGACTGATAGCGTGTGGCACTGATTCTGATGTTGGTCAGGCTCATTATGATCACATTCTGACTTTGATTCAGTCGACAAATAAATCTGTACATCAGGTTTCTTAGTACAGCACGAAAAGTTCGAATCCCAGAAGAAACAAATAAATCTAGGCTGGCACTCTCCCACCGAGACCTTTTCAACAGGATTCTTAGGCAGTCATTGTAAGCCACATTTAGCTTCCGCACGCTGGATTGTCTATAGTTTGACCACAGATGTGCCGTATATAACGGTGTACAATAAGCTTTAAAAAGTGTCTTTTTCACTTCATCTGTACATGCACCAAACCTGCGCACAAGCGTATTGGCCTGTGCATACATCATGCGGCACTGCCGTAACACATCATCATCGTCAGACAGGTTTTCAGTAATAAAATGTCCCAAGTACTTATATTTGCTACTCAATATCAGATTATTTCCACACAATTCAAATTGAGGAAACTTCAAGATTTTGTCATCTCTTGTCCGGCAAATCATTATGACACTCTTGCTGGCATTATATTTGATGTCATATTCCAGACCATACTTGGAGCAAACATGAAGAAGTTCTTGGAGGCCAGCACTGCTTGGACTCAATACAACAACATCATCAGCGTACATTAGGTGATTTACAAGAGTTGAACCAATCATACAGCCAGTCCTACATGCATTCAACCATTGTGACAACTCATCCATATACAGACTAAACAACACTGGAGAAAGAATTCCACCTTGCCTTACTCCATTGGTAAGTAAGTAAGTAAGTAAGTTTTTATTTATATACCGCCTTTTCACTGCAGATCTGAGTCTCAAAGCGGTTTACAATTGTTAATTTTGGGCATTTGTCTCTCACTCCACACAGAGATGGGAGCGGGGCCAGTACAGGAGGCGCATGCTAGAACTATTGGACATATTTTTAGTGGTAGGGGAAACCGGAGCACCCGGAGGAAACCTACGCAGACACGGGGAGAACATGCAAACTCCACTCAGAAAGGCCCTGGTCCGACCGGGATTCGAACCCAGGACCTTCTTGCTGAGAGGCGAGAGTGCTATCCACTCAGCCACCGTGCCGCGTTGGTAACGCCAAAGGGGGCTGAGACAGTACTACCCCACCTCACCTGCATTATCTGGTGATACCAGTAGACTAGGATTCTCAGTATGTACTCAGGTACTCCTCGCTGACGCATTTTAGTAAATAGCTTTGGGTGATTAACCCGGTCAAATGCTTTGGAAGCATCAATGAAACATATCAACACAGAAGAGTTCTTATTCTTATATTTCCTGATTATTTCCTTTAGTGCAAATATACATAAGTCTGTGCCATGCTTTGACTTGAACCCAAATTGATTGTCAGCAGAGGAAATAATGTCTTGTATTCTACATAACAGTACCTTTTCTAAGACTTTTGATGTAATACTCGCTAAGGCGATGGGCCTAGTTGTCAACACTGCCCATTCTTCCTGCTTTGTCCTTTATGACTGGCACCAGGGTGACAGACAAAAGTGCATCAGGCAGGATACCATGTGTCAGACAGCTGGTAAAGCAAATGGCCAGAAGAGGGGATAGTCTAATGCTGGCGTGTTTTAAATGCTCAGCATATATACCATCAGCACCACAAGTTTTATTGTCAGGCATATTTTTAATTGCTTGGTACACATCATGTGCCATTATGCTCACACACTCGTGTTTTTCTATAGCCTCCACGTTTAGTTTTTCAGCAGGTAGACAATTGAACAGGGCAGTGTAATGCTGTTTCCAGCGCTCCAATACGTTTTCAGGACCAGAAATGCCATCCACAGTACAGGGTAGAGTTGTCCTATCACTGTTGAGAACTCGCAACTCCTTTCAGAAATCAATAACGTTGTTACTCAAGAGCTTCCCAGCTAAGGAATCTGATCTCATACATTCCTCATTTTTTTTAATAAACCTTATGGCATATTTATATCTAGCATTGGTGAGCTTCTTCTTTTGATACTCAGGACCCTGTCTAGGTCTTCCAGCCTGAGCCCACTCTTTAGTAGCTTCCCGGGCCTGCTCATAGTGCTCTGCTACATACCTATTCCAGCCAGGCCGCTTAGTATTTTTCTTATTTATCAGTTTACGAAAGGGGGTACCACTTTTATCTAGAGAGCTTATAATTTCATCATAAAAAACACAAATGTCTCTACTATGATTAACATCCACACAGTTTGGATCAGTACATCTGATTGCATCCAAAGGTAAACTAATACTGCAGAGTAATTTGTCAGTCTGGATAAAATAGGACATAATGTCTTCCTTTGTGAGAGACGACCAGTCCAACTTCCCTTGATGTACAATTTTCTCATTTGTAAACAGTACTGGCAACTGTTCAACTTTAACAGAGAAATAAATAGGTATATGGTCACCTGTAACCATATCAAACAGTATTTCCATTGACCCAAGAGAAGCATGCGCATCAGATGTACTAATACAGTGGTCTAGCCACGAAGTAGTATGCCATGCCTCACTGATAAAGGTATAACTGTCACAATATGTAACGATGGTCTTCACAAAACTGAACCATACATTTACCAAACACAGTTACAATCTGATATGTCGGCATTCATGTCTCCTAGTACATAGATACTTGACGTAAGACAACTTTCAATAAAATAATATAAAAAAGCTAATTTGTTTAAATATTCATCCTCAAGGCTGGTGCTATGAGACTTGGGTGGCATCTCTGACTGCCACCCCCCTGACCCAGAAATGGATTAAAGGGTAGAAAATGGATGGATGGATGGATTCATCCTCATTCTGTCGGCATTCATAAGGGGTATATACATTTAAAATGACAAAATCCTTATTATCACATGTTAACTGAACACCAATACACCAATCCACACCAAGTGTGACAACTTTAATGTATTTATCAAGAGTTTTTCTCCATAGTATTGCTACACCTCCTGCTATTCTCCCTCGGACAATACCGCGGTCATAGTCTGTAGTGGACTCTCCAGCACCATGGAAGTAGTCATTAAAAGAGTTTAACTTCTGCAAATCTTGTTGCGCTAAAAATGTCTCTTGCAAACAGAGTACATCACATTTTAATAGCAGATTGTCAATAACCAAACGTCGAGCTTTATCCCCTGCGCTGTTCCCAAGCCGCAAACCACGACAAAACTTTCCTATTATTAAAGAATGAGAAGAGAATCTCTGCATCGATTTGTTTGTTTTATATATTTTACACACGCACAATAAATTTACAACTGAATAAGATAAAACACAATGGAGAAATGCACAATGTGGCCCACCCCCTCAGGTCAAGTCTGGACTCACTTTGGACCAGTTTGAAGACCACAGAGTCCGACCCACATCATATAAATGGCTTTTCTGTGTTGTAGATGTCAGCGCTCATGACGATATGAATAACTACATCAGCCAATACTACAGTGAGCCCAGCAGCGGTGAGTTAAACCTATATTTGTCCATGCGTTATTATACCCAGTGTCTCCAGGCACATGACGTTATCCACTCTCTGCAGACATGGGTATCCCAGACCCAGCCGCCAGAGTCATCACAGCCATAGACGTGCATCTGCCCACCAACCCCAGCCAGCTCCCCTCCACCCTGGTGAGCGCCGAGGCCATGAGCTCGGGCCGTCTCCAGACCACAGAGAGCTCCGTCAGCGAGGCCTCCAGCATAGACTGTAGCAGCACCGTGCGAGAAGCCTCCACGTCCACCGACTACCCACCGCCCTACAGCAGCCCCCTGGTGCGAGGCAGTCCCAGCGCCGTGGTGCAAGAACTGCTCTCCTCTCTCTCTGAACACTCCTGTTTGACTCAGAAAACCCTAGATCCGGTCAACCTCAAACGTCCCAGCCCAACGGGTCCAACAAGAGCAGTCCTGAGCTGGAACACAGGCTCAACATCTACAACAAGAACCAGGAGAGAGCTCTGCACGGGAAAGCCCTGATCCAGCTGCAGAGCCACGAGCCGCTGGTGGACGAGAAGCACAGACTGATGGAGCCGCTGCACGCCTCGCTGAAGCGCCTCTCCAAGACATGACCCGCGCTGGGCTGAGCACGGAGCTTTTAGGGCATCCCGGAGCCCTCTGCTGCTCCAAACACACTTCTTTCAGGCAAATCTTCAGGAACAGACACTTTTAACCAAAACTCTGGCAGTATTAAGACTATTGGGGGAAAAAAAGATAAAAAGAAGTGATTTCTATTGAAGTTGCACAAACTGTAAAGATGCTTTTGGTACTTTGTAACAATTTAGATGATTTTATTCATGAGCTCTTTGTAACATACATTTGGTAATGTCTTGAACTTTACTGAATTTTATGGAAATTCTTATGACTTTGTTGCAGTGTTGGTGCACTTGTGCCATGGGGTGATTATGATGCTACAAACTACCTACCTGTATTATGACTTGAGCCATAAATCTCCACACGCTTGTTTCTGTTCCTCCGAGCTCCAGCTATCGACTCTTTAGACCAACACTAAAAGAATCTGACTGCTGCTGCAGACTGCAAACCTTTGAAAGCATGACTTCATCGTTTGTGCAAAACATCTTCATAAGACTGTACAGGGATTTCATACAAATGTGAATAAAGGAGAAGGAAACAGATGTTTCATAATGTATTAAATCACTTTATTGTTTGAGAAATCTAGAAAAAGGCTTCGAGTTAAGAATAAAACCAGGCTGTAAATTCAACAGAAATGACAGAATATTGTCCAGAGCTGAGGGAGGGGCTGTGATTTGAAGGCCATTTTAGTCCAGGCAAAACATAAATTAGCATTTCAACAAATGGTTTCTCCATTTTAACAATTAACATTTCATTTATATACAACTGCCTACATATTGTACAGATTGTACAGATGTGACGACACAGGAGTCACAGCCCTCTCAGCGCTCACTCTGCTGCTCACAGATTCCTCCATCACTTGTCCAAGGCCGCGGTCATCTCTGGGACGGCCTAAACACGACACAGTCTCAGTCACACTTCACAGAATGACTATTGTGTGATTATATATATTGGACATTGATCTAAGGGTAACATGTTTTTCAAAGGTCTTATACATTTATCATAAGAAACAGAATGGTGTATTATTAGATTTTAGGTGGTAAATAATTCCTGACTGAGGAGTTTAGTCTTATCCCATGCTTAACCCTGTTAACAACTGCACAATATAATATCATAAATCTGTTTTATTTATATCGCTTTTTTGGACAAGACGCTTACATGTGTCATTATTCATTCACTCCAACCACCAGATAGTGTGACATTCGCTCATGTGACGCTATGAAGGAGAGGATCTACTTCATCGATCCCGAAGAAAGTACGTCTTGCACTTAATCACAGTCCACAGGGCGCAACATTCTATTTCCTGTCTTATTTACTGATTCTGTCTATTGTCTTAATGAGTGCTAATTTCCTGCTTTCGTGCTGTATGTGAACGATGAACCGAAATGTCTCCACTGAGGGAAGATCAAGGCAACTGCTGATGCTACAGTTGCTAAAATCTTATAAAAAACAGTTTAAAGCGTTAAAAGTTCATTAAAATCACATGGTCGGTCAAGAGTTGTGCAGTGTACATTAAGCCACCATGCTTTGTGATCTAGCACAAAACTTGAAACAGAATAATTGAGCCTATTCAAAAGTGTTCTTTACTTCTCCATAATGGTTAACTTATACTAACTGCTTTAATAATCTGGAGACCTCTAAGGATCCGTTTTGATTGAAATTATAAATATGAGTCGATTTAGCCTTTTGAGATGGAGATAATACACAGTGTTCTTTTTTTTTTGTATTACCTTACTGTCCTTCATCCCTGCCAGCTGCTGAATAGCTCCTTGAAATACCAACAGCAATGTCAGCTCCTGCGAACACAACCAAGTCACATCATGCAGAGCTCTGTCGCCAAGGTCAGCAAAGTTCTGGACCAATTTGATTTTCTAATGCGAGTGTCCTTCTCACTCAGCGGTTTGTGAGCTCCGTGTCTCTTCAATAACTAATTTCATGCAATGACAACTTGGCTTGATGTGGGAGTAAAAGTGCAGCGTTGCTTTCTATAATGGATATATTTTTACAGTTGTGTTCCAGCGGAATGCCAAAATAACAGTAGTTATAAATAGCTTCCGTACCGGTGCCACAATTTTGCCGTTTGTCCGACTTGCATATCGTTCGGACATATTCCAGCATCCCGGCGGCTCTGGAGGCACCAACTGAAGAAAGAAGAAATGTTTATTAGAAATTAAATATTGATTTAAACCAGATCCGCGTTTGACAAACCCTGCACGTTTAACTTGCGGCATAGCATCATAAAGCAGGCTTCACGTTGTCCACTCTTCAGTCCCCTTTCCTGGAACGGGAGAAAAGAGTTGCATTTAAAATATTCAATGTTTTGTTTTTAAAAATGGGGGGGGGGGGGGGGGGGGGGGGGGGGGGACTAATATATTATAAAAGTTGTCCCTCCAGGACGACCACCTTTGCGTGGTGAGCTCTGGACGATCCTTTTGGTCAGATTCTGCTCGAGCCACTCTGAAGCCCCCACAAGGTAAGAGGCAGCCACTAAAGCGGGGAATAAATTTTATGCAGGATCAACTTTGTTTTGGACACATGTATTTTTCCCCTAACTTATTCATGTCAAACGCTTTGATTATTCCTATGATTAAAAAAATAAAGAAAAAGAAAAAAAAAAATTGAGCTTTCCCAACTACTAGCAACATAGTATCTTTGTCGGCCCCTCAGCTGGCCAAAGTGTAACCTCCCCTATTTGATAACGCCCAGGCCATTTGACAGGTACAGTATGAACTATTTTTTACTGATGTACATTGGAGGGTTCGCCCTAATTCAACACATTTTCATGCCGTTTAACATTTTGTTAAAGGTCCATTCCAAAACACAATAACACACTCGTAACTGGCAAATAAAAAAAATGTCAGGCAATAAGATGTGTAACATTGTTGCCTTGTGTTGTGATGTCATCGAGAAATTCCTGTTTTCAATTTCTGTATTTGTCAACATTTACATTTCTTTTCAGAAATGGTGCAAAAATAATTTTTCTAATACAACAAACTTATCCACAAATAATGTAAAAATGCGTTAATAACAACAGCTGTCAAAAGACCATTAGATTTAGAGTTTGTAGTTTGATTATTTTAAACCTGCACAGCCTATTTTTACATATATCAATATAACATACAAATAAAGTACAAGGTTCATAAAGTTCA